TACAACTCAGACACAGTTTATAGACACACGAGACGATACAAGGAGACAGTCTGTGCACATAAGCAGATACATTTCTCGTTGACAGCTACGTACTACACCAAAACTATAAAAAATGGATAATAAACCTATCTAAGACACGCGTCTCTAGAATATACGAAATATAATATTTTCAACTAGTTCCCTAAACTGGTACAGATAACCAATGGATGCTAAGAATAATATGCCATATAAGTGAACACCGAATACAAGAAAATTATAATTATCTTGAACAATATAACTTATCCTTGTACAATTTAGCAATTACAATAAATAAACAAAAGGAAATATTGTAATGAATATATACTAAATAAATACCTCAGTATATTTTACAAATGTTGACCACATTTTGTACAAAGTCACGCCACGTGTTATGACAAGGTAGATGACATCGACACTACACAAACATGTTGACACTTGACTTCACAGGAAAACGCACAACAGATAAATGTGGTTCACAAATGCAAGGGTATTTATATGAGTGGAAGTGAGTGAAATAGTGAATGAAATACTAAGGAAATGGAATGATGCCAATTGATTTCTATACTTATGAATACTACCTGTAGAGTATATTGAAAGATAAAACTCGCGTTTGACTGAAACGCTAACCATACTTGACAAGATGTCATCGCAAAGACCCGCAAGGACCCAGGATGGTTCCACTAGACAGAAGTGTGCCCTAATGGTTTGTATCATCGATAAGATGATTTATCTGTTGTTCTATTTAAGTGACGATTATCACTATGTTATAATGTTAAATTAAGCTTAAAGGCAGAAATAGTAAAGTAATATTAACTATATGAAAACATGGTAGAACATAATGTTCAAAATTTTATTTTCAGTCTGTAAGAGCGTATTAGATTTCGTTGGAAGTTGTGCCTATGTAAAGGGGACTAAAACACGGATGCGATTTAAGGAAGTGTACAAAGAGGGTGTCAGTATCTGGATTACCTCCCAATGAAACTTAAGTGCAAATTAAACCATTTCACAATTACATCACTGCCAGTTACATTTAACATAATAACAAAGTTAGATGCTTTTGACACAAACAACATACAATATGATTTGCAGAAAATATCAACTCACAGATATAGACAATTAAGATACCATGCACAAGGACAATAGCGCAATATTAGTATTTTGAAAGGGTAACGGTTGATGGACCGCTATCGAAGATGGCCGAAGATCTTACCATTACCCTTCAATAACTTGATATGCTCTTTAGAGTAACTTCGGCAATCATCGGCCATCTTCGTGACATAAACATTGGAAATTATATAGTTTTGGACAGCAACCGAAGATGGCCGAAGATCTACTATGGAATCTGATTGGTTACTTAAAAAATCTTCGGTTCTTTCCGTGATTTTTCGGCCGCGCTGCATCGGCGCTCTCCTCTTTATTGAAAGTGTGTTTAATGTCTAAGTGATATCCTGGGGTCCCTGGTATTTTGTCTCCGTAGTGTTCATTAATCAATCTACATGTTTAGGTCCATTCGTCCAGTTCAATATATCGTTTAGTTTACAGGATCCGTACTGTATTTTATTTATGTTATTTGAGTTTATTTAAATTTCAGCAAATTAACTTTATGATAGATATATTAAAATGTACAGGCGTAAACTCTTTCTATCGAGAAATAACGCATGGTTGGAAAGTTAGCAAAATACTAGGAAAAAGCCAAATGTAGATTGTTTGTGTAATACGACAGTGAAGGAGTTACGGCTGCCAGGACATAATGTATATTACAATAGCAGGTCAATTATGTTGAGCAGTCAGGGAGGAAGACTGAATTACCTATTTCCATCCAAAGGACTTCGGTAATTCTGTTTCTCTCCGATTGGCTGTAAAGTAGTGTATATAATATTATTTGCACGAGCCTATTTATAACACGTGGAGTATAGAACAAAAGCTAAGCGTCCTGGAGTGCTAACAAAATGCTTATCTAAAATAGCTAAATCATGTTTTAATCAATACTCAAACTAGTCAAAAGATGTCTCTGCACAACAAGACTAAGTCCTCGACGACAGAATATTAAAGACGTTTGTAATCTTTATAAATAATTATGTCAGTTGAAAATTAAACACATTTGATAATTTATCCTTATTTATAAACATGTACATTGCAAAAATAAAGTTCATTTATTGTTTTCAATCCATAAAGTTGTGTTGGTTTTTCGATTATTTTCTTTGTACCAATTGAAGTATTTGATAACTAAGTGGCGGGAAAATCCCAGAGCTCAGAGATGACCTCAAAATTATCTCTCATCCTTACCACTTTCGTTATTGTCCGAATTTCTACTATTAAGTTATTCAATACGGTACCACACCTTAGAAATTAATACATTATTACATCTTTTAAAAAAATAGAATCGCCATTTTGTTTTCGTCATGCGGCTAATCAGCGATGATGGTCACCCTTATATATTTCCATTGGAGTTACGGTCATCTTTGAACCCTGGGAGTTTTCATCCTGTTATATAATGTAGCTAGTGTAGCTACCTTTAACTAGGCGAGGCGGGACTAAATTGCCGACGCAACCTTGTTTTAAAGGGAGGGGATACTCTCATAGTACTTCATTTATCAGTTACACGTGAAAAACGATATATGTGTTGATCCCATAATCACTAGACTAGGCTGTATGTACGAAGCATGGGATGTTGTGCTTAAATTATCAAATACTTGGGTTCATTGTGATTTTCTTAAGACCCAAATGCCCTGAAGATCATATCGTGTATATCCGATAAAACGGTCAATGACCTCAAAATTTGCAGTTAAATGTTTGAGTCGACTATGGCCATACCTCCTCATAGCATTGAACTGCAAATACGATGTCTCATTATGTGTTTCTGGAAGTCCGAGAATAAATAATCCCCCTGGTTTAAGCATGCACCAAACTTGCGCAGCTGCTTCAAGATCTCCATATGGATTAAGAGGATCTCCATAGCGACCTAATCCAGAATGTTCAATTGATGAATACGATAATGCAAAATCGAACTCTTGAAAACTACCATTTGCGTATAATTTTGCCATATCATACGGGTGGATTTTGGTTATGTTAGGATGAAGGAACGAATTATTGTTATATTCAAGTGTCGTCATGTGTTTTGCACCAGCAGATAAGGCCAATGCTTCAAGCCAGGGTGATTGGGATCCAATCACAACTCCACGCTTGTTACTTATTTCATTTTTATATGCGGTTATTGACTTTTTAGGTTCCTCTACTTCATATGTCCCAATTATTTTCCCAGCCTTGTCGTTTTTTATTAGTTGTTCAATTGCGTCCTTTGTAAAATGTTTCTGCCTGTTGATATTTGAAATCTTTTTCTTGTCATTAATATACCAATAATTTTTATTAGGAAGTTCCCCATTTTGGGTAAACTCATCAAATAATTCTGCAGGGATTTTTTTTGGTGGTACCTTTGGAGTTGCTGGATTGAGTGCCATGCGTTTCATTATTGAGCCACAGTTGACGGTTTTCCGGATATACGGATAGTACTTCCTCTTCTCTTCAACTTTCACCTCATAACTACAGATTTCACCACACTCAAGAGAAGGCTCGTCAGGTTCTGAAGAAAAAAAAATGTACAGAATTTACAAATGTATTTTATAGACTCTACGAAATCATAACAATAATATAGTAACGTGTAAATATATTTTCATTACAGTGTACAAATTTTAGATCGCTTTTAGATTTAGTAGAGGGGGTCTGAATCATAGACATCGAGCGATTCTGACCGAGTAGATTTTACATTGTAAACCTTCTTTAACCGGTCCCTTATGCCTGGGTCACATAGGCGCCGGGCGCCGGCCGATGAGTAGTCATCGGCCGATTTCTAAATCGACCGGGCGCCGGCGACTTTTCACCGATGTCTTGATCTAATCGTGAGTATGGTCACATTAGTAATGCCTGGGTCACATATGCTCCGATCCATCGCCCGGCGCCCGGCCGATTGAGTGTTTTGTTCAATATTGTATTCAATTTTGAACAAAACACTCAATCGGCCGGGCGCCGTAGTGAAAATCGGAGCGTATGTGACCAAGGCATAAAGGCATCGTACAGCGCCCGCAATCAATTGAATCTGAAAGACATTGCACGGGTATCGCAAGGCTATCTGCCGATGGCCGTACGGCACCCGCCAGGACATCGGACGATCTACAGGCCTCTAGATTTATACTTAATTCTTGTATGACCCAGTATGACTGTTCCACATGGCGTGAATGCAAGATTCGAAAACGAACTACTTCGATAGACAGGACTTCCAGGTTAATAATGTTTTCATGCAATAAAAATCAGAAAAAGAAGATCCTCTTTTCGAGTAAATAGGTTCAATATTTAGAAAAAATGCTGACATGGGGTCCCTATTCATAATTTATCAAATTGTTTGATTGATATTTTTACTATCATGGGTACTCCAATTGAAAGAACTGTAATTATTGAGACAGTGAACTTCGTATTAAAATTGTGACCCTTTAAGATACTACTCACAAAATCAGTCAGAAGATTTTTAAAATAAATGATTTGTAATGGTATATGCATGAGTGAATATACGTATAAAAATGTATCACTCTATTCAATGTGTTGTAACTTGAGGATAAGCAACATTGTTATCCTAGTTTCAATTCTAGTTGTATTGAGCAATAGTGCTATCATGATTGTATCTGCGCATGTGCAGAACTCAGATCTACTTCCTGAAGAAATACAAGAAATGTCAATGTAAAAGTTTTTGTGTTATCTATCATTTATTCGATGCATCCCTTTATACAATCCAACAAGTGGCGACGAGGATGGGATAGAAGCATTTTCCTACATGTTAGATACATTATTGTGACTTTATTCTTCTGCATAAGACTGTATTTCGGAAACAAAAACGGCATGGCTTTGATAGGCCAAATTGGAACTTTTGATTCTAAAATTGAAAAGTTTGGACTTTGGAAACAACGGTTTGACCAGTTCTCCGTAGCAAACCAGTTGTCTGATGATATCAAGAAGGCAGCATTCTTGACAACGATGGGGCCCGAGCCTTATGCCGTGTTGGCGGACTTATGTCATCCAGTCAATCCAGATGTGAAGGAATTGGATGCTCTAAGCACCATTCTGAATGATTACTATGAACCAACCCCTCTGATAATAGCTGAACGATTTAAGTTTCATAAAAGGGACCAACTGAAGAGTGAATCGGTGAGTGAATTTTCAGTTGTGTTGAGGAATTTATCCAAGACTTGTGAATTTGGTGAATTCTTACAAGAGGCTCTGAGGGACCGCTTCGTTTGTGGCTTACAAAGTGAGGCAATTCAGCGAAGGTTGCTAACTGAGAGGGGTTTGACTTTTCATACGGCTTATACCACCGCTATTGGCATGGAAATGGCACAGAGGGACATAAAAACATTTCATGTACCCGCATCTTCAACAGACATTAACGCAGTCACATCTACAACATGTTTTCGATGTGATGGATCGCATGCAGCCAACACTTGTCGCTTTAAAGACTCCAAATGTCGTTTCTGTTTGAAAACAGGCCACATTGAACAGGCTTGTTTCAAGAAAAAATCTGGTAAGGGTAAACAGAAATCGAAGGCCCGTAAGCCATTTCGCAAGACTGTGAAAAACTTGAAAGCTGTCAATGAGGACTTTGACTCTGATAAAGATGATTTGAATCTATATCTACTATATACGCAAAATGCACAGGGTCGCCAGGACGATTTGTTTATCGTGAACCTTCACATTGATGACCAACCAATACAGATGGCTATCGACACTGGTGCTGATGTATCCGTCGTGTCAGAGGTGTTTTACCGAAAACATCTTCCACATCTACCCTTACAACGATGCTCTCGCAGGGTGAAGGCCTATGGTGGTGGTGCCATTCCATTGGTGGGTCAAGTGGAGGCCCCAGTTAAGTATAATCAGGTGTCCACCAAACTCCCTCTATTGGTAGTTAAGGGAAACAATCCTGCTTTGGTTGGGAAAAATTGGCTCAAGTCAATCAAATTGGATTGGGGTTCAATTTTATCTGCTCATCAAGGGGGGTCCTCAAAGGGTAAATGTTCTCCCAGGGACAAAGTAGATTCTGTCAAATCTGAAGGGGTGACAAATGAGAATATAAAACTCAAGTCAGTTCTCTCTAGGCATGAAGCTGTATTTACAAAGGGTGGTACAATTAAGAACTACACTGCACATTTGCGCGTCAAAGAAAATGCTACTCCAATATTTCATAAACCGCGCAAGTTAGCCTATGCTATGAGATCGGTAGTTGAAAAAGAACTCGATAGATTAACTGAACAAGGTGTGCTCAAACCGGTTGACTATTCGGAATGGGGTTCTCCCCTAGTTAATATTCAAAAGACCGATGGTAGTATTCGCATGTGTGGAGATTACAAGGTCAGTATTAACCAAGCTCTACATGAAGAGCAATACCCCCTTCCAACTGCCCAAGATTTGTTCACAACTTTATCAGGTGGCAAAGTGTATAGCAAAATTGACCTCGCTCAAGCATATTTGCAATTACAGTTAGATGAAGAGTCAAAACACTATTTGACGCTAAGTACTCACAAGGGTCTTTTTGAACCGCAGCGTTTACAGTTTGGGGTTTCAGCAGCGCCATCTATTTTTCAGAGAGTAATGGAATCAATGTTACGCAGAATACCCGGCGTATGCGTTTTTCTCGATGACATTTGCATTGCGTCAGGCTCTGTTTCCGTTCACTTGAAAACCTTAGAAAAGGTGCTCTCAGTACTTGAAAAACATGGTGTTCGTGCAAAACTGAGTAAATGTGAATTCCTCAAATCTTCTGTCACATACTTAGGGCATATTGTAGATAGTGACGGAATCAGACCCACAGAAGATAAACTCAAGGCAATTCGCGACTGTCCGCGTCCTAAAAATCTCAAAGATTTACAAGCGTTTTTGGGTCTAGTCCAATTTTACGCGAAGTTCATGACAAAAGAAAATGTTGACTTGTCTACAGTCTTACATCCACTTCACCTCCTTCTCCGGAAAGATGCCCAGTTCAAGTGGACCGTTCAATGTCAGAGCGCTTTCAACAAGTGTAAGAACTTATGTACATCGGACAGTGTGTTCATTCATTACGACTCCTCAAAGGAAGTGTACTTATCGTGCGACGCATCTTCGGTGGGAATAGGAAGTATTATCTCACATAAAGTCGACGGTGAAGAACGAATAATTAGCACATGTTCGCGAAAATTAACCTCAAGCGAAGTGAACTATAGTCAAATTGAAAAAGAGGCTCTATCAATTGTTCATGCCGTCAGGAAGTTCCATCAGTACTTATATGGCCGAGAATTCACAATCATCACGGATCATAAACCTTTGACTAAAATATTTGGTCCCAAAACAGGCATTCCCGCGATGGTTTCCGCTCGATTACAGCGTTGGGCACTTTTGTTGTCTGCCTATAAGTACAAAGTGATATTCCGCAGTTCTGGTGACCATGGCAATGCAGATTGCCTATCGCGCCTTCCATTAGAAATTCCAGCTAATGAGTCAACAGAAAATGCAATTTTCAAAATCTCGGAAATTGAATCTATTCCTGTCAAAGCTCAGGATATTGCGGAACAAACCAAGAAAGATACTACATTGAATCAAGTGTATCAGTATACGCTCAGTGGTTGGCCGAACTTTTGCCCAGATGAAAATTTACGGCCTTACTTCTTGCGAAAAGATGAATTAGCGGTAGACCAAGGTTGTGTATTATGGGGTTTGCGAGTTATCGTTCCTCCGGCATTTCGTGAAACTATTCTCAATGAATTACATATTGAACATCCGGGTATTTCTCGAATGAAAGCACTCGCTAGAGGTCATGTATGGTGGCCCAAAATGGATGAATCAATTGAAAAACTTGTGAGTACTTGCCAGACATGTCTTACAACACGTAATGCTCCCAGATCAGCTCCTCTCATGCCTTGGCCTTATCCAACTCGCGTTTGGCAACGCATCCACACCGATTTTGCGGAAAAAGACAAAGCGTCGTTTTTGATTATAATGGACGTGTACTCAAAATGGGTGGAGGCATTTCAAATGTCAAACATCACATCAGAGAAAACTATCGAAGTTTTGCGCAAATTATTTGCCGCGTATGGTCTAGCGGAAGAACATGTGTCAGATAATGGGCCACAGTATACTTCAGAAGAGTTTTCAAATTTTCTCCGTGAAAACGGGGTAAAACAAACATTAGTTCCTGCGTACCATCCTTCCTCAAACGGTACTGCAGAAAGAACCGTTCAGACGGTGAAAAAAGCTTTGTTAAAGCAAGTTGTAGACAACAAAACAAATTGCTCAATGTCACACCGGCTTTCAAGCTTTTTAATGGCATATCGGAACACTCCTCATTCTATAACAGGCAAGACGCCTGCCGAATTGTTCTTAAAACGCGAGCCACGTACACGGTTGTCACTACTTAAGCCAAATTTGCCCCAAACTATGGAAGCAAAACAAGCAAATCAAAGTTTGGCAAGTTCCAAAAATAACAGTGCACGTAGTTTGCAATTGTATCAACCAGTGTTAGTTAGAAATCACAAACGGGGTGTTGAAAAGTGGATTAG